TCTCAGCTATTCCTCCAGCACCATATCTGCTTGGATGCCGCCATGCTCCATGCCATGGTGATAATAGACTGAATCTCTGAAACTGTAAGCAAGCCCCCTCAATTTAATGTTTTCCTTATATGAGGTTAGCTGTGACTTGTTTGGTCTTTTTTTTTTTTTTTTTTTTTTTTTTTTTTTTTTTTTGAGACAGGGTTTCCCACTGAACCTAGAGCTCACCAATTTGGTTAGACCAGCCAGGGCAGCAATTTCCAGGTATCCTCCTGTCTCTGCCTCCTCAGTACTGGGACTATTGGGACTCACTGGATTTTTAAATGTGGATTCTGGGGGATTAAATTCATGCCCTCATACCTGCATGGCAAGCAATTTAGTGATTGAGCCATCTCCCTAAGCCCCTAATAAGATGCTTTTGACCAAGTATATCATTTAAAATCAATTGCTGATTCCTGAGCATGGACCCTCAGCCTCATTTCCGGAACCCTCCCCTAGCTGACACTTCTTCCCCCACATCCCTTTGGCTTTGTCGTCTGTCTTTGCTAGTCTGGCTTGCGGTCCTTTGTGCTGTCTTGCTCTTTTCCTTCCTTTATCCCCACCTCACACCCTAGCTTCTTTTCCTCTCAGCCTTACTTGACATCCACTTTGTCCCTGAGAAAAGTTGTTTTCTCAATTTCTACATGAAATAATTCTCATACAGAATTCTGCATCCTGTCACAGGAGTCCAGCGGTTCTTCTGGCTCAGGAATCTGCTTTCCTTCATCAGTTACGATTGGTACAGAAGCATGGATTTGTTCTCTGAAAGAGCCTGCGTTTGGCTTCTGCAGGTGCCTTGTTGGAATGGTTAGACATTTTGACACTGGTCTCCATAACCTATGTAGCCAGCCCTGTAGTAGGAAGGACTGCTCACAGAAACGTGCAGTTCACTACAGAGGGGAAGAGAAGAACTGGTGATAATGATACAGTCACTGGGAAGGAAGCTTAGAAGCAGAGGGGTCAGCTTTCAGTAGCCCCCCTCCCCTTTCCCTAAGAACCTCTTTAGAGGAACAGATCTGGGCTCACGGTGGCAGTCTTCTTTGGTAATTCAATTAGGAAAAAGTTAAATGATCACAATCCAGTCTAATCTCCTCTTGAGGATTCCCTGCCGAATTCCAGGAAAGGAATCTGTCTCTAAAAACAGATGGATTATAACAGTTGTTCCATAGAAATTACACATTGGGCTGTCATTTAAACAGGATACCGGATAGAGATAGACATCTTTATCTGAGGAAGGCCATTTGTAAGCATGTCCCGGGATGGCAAGAAGTCCTTGTCATGGGCATGGGCCATTAAGAGGGATTATGGTGGTGGTTTGAGAAGGGAGTTCTGGTAAACCTGGAAAAGGACTGTCATGCAGACCTGCCAAAGAGGTGCTGGAGTGGCGTCCAGGCAGGGCATGAGGAAATCACTGAGATTCATGCATACAAGGAAGCATAAAGGACTTAAGAGACAATTACACTGTCCTTGAAAATCATGTCTGTTAGTCCAGAAATGAACAATACAATAGAAAGAAGGCAAGGTGGAGATGACTATTGTAAGCTTTTTTGTTGGTTTTATGTTCATGGTTTGTTAGCTCCAAATAAATGTAAAACAGTAACAAAATCTCAGTAGTATGAGCATCCCAAACAGACCAGATCCGGTTACAATTCACAGAAGTCAAACAATAGCATCTGAAGCGTCTTTCCCGGTGCCCCCTTCTCAGTATGCATGTTCGTATTCCACTGCTCTCAAAGGGAATTACTTTCAAATCGTGGTTTTGAAAATGTGAGCTCAGAAAATCTTCTTCAGTGCACTCTTTTAATTCTTGATTGTTGGGATCTTTGTGAACAGTGGGTATTCGTGGGCAATCCCAGTCTTGCTAATGATTACTGTGGTAATTATTACAATGCAGCTATTTCCTCCCATACTTCTATTTCTTCTATTGACTTTCCAAATAGGAAGAAGGGAAGGCATAGTAAATTCAACAGACAAATTTCAGCATTACATATGGGACAGAAAAGACTTACTTTGGAGCATAGTGTTAAAGTATATTTTCTTAAAAGCCTTGATTATTGCCCCGATCTTCAACATTCAGAATAGAATATTCTTCAGTCAAGGAGACTCTATTCCTGCCCAGTACTTGTGGAGGGAGGTTAAACTCCATTGAAGTATTTATCATGATGAAAACAGTTCATTTTAGTATGTAATCTCAAAAAAGACATAGACAATTCATGTCTCCCTTGCAAACAAAGATTGTATCCTGGTGACTTATGTGTTTTCTAATATTAGTACTGATATTAAAGAGTAAATTTAAAAATCATGACTTTTTAAAAAAAATATGTCATACTGTGTTACATATCATGCTAACACATTTACATTTAAAATGACTTTTATGTCCTTCATTGATATCTGATCTCAGTTATAGATTTAAATTCCTTTAAATATTGTAGATTATAATTCTAATCATAAAAATTTTATACTTTTCTTAGTCTTTGTGGTGATGTGAAAGAAAATGGTCCCTAAAGGGAGTGACACTATTAGCAGGTGTGGCCTTGTTGGAGGAAGCATGTCACTGTGGGGTCAGGCTTTGAGGTCTCTTTTGCTCAAGCTTCCCTCAATGTGACTGTCAGTTGATTTCCTATTGTCTGCAAGGTGTAGGACTCTCAGCTATTCCTCCAGCACCATATCTGCTTGGATGCCGCCATGCTCCATGCCATGGTGATAATAGACTGAATCTCTGAAACTGTAAGCAAGCCCCCTCAATTTAATGTTTTCCTTATAAGAGTTGCCGTGGTCATGATATCTCTTCACAGCAACAAATAATAATAATAATAATAATAATAATAATAATAATAATAATAATAATAAACCAATAAAAACCCAAACTATGACAGTGCTTAATATTTTTTTGAGACAGAGTTTCTCGGTATAGCCCTAGCTATCCAGGAACTCACTCTGTAGACCAGGCTGGCCTCCAACTCAGAGATTTGCCTGCCTCTGCCTCCCAAATGCTGAGACTAAAGACATGTGCCACCACCACCCAGCAAAGTCCTTAATTTTTTAAGAGAGCAAAACCTTCTTAAGACTTGTAATATAAAGCTAACATTGATAATATATTCATACATAATTATGTACAAAATCTTAGATTCCTCTAAGCTTTTCATTACTGTTTGGAAATTGGCTTAACTATGTCAGTTTAAAAACATGAGTACAAATCCATTAATCATGGCAAATTGCTTTAGTATGATATAAATATTAAAAATATAACATAAAAGTTCCATATGTTAACATGTAAAATATTAGTAGTATGATTTTTATTCACTGAATCATAATTATACCTAATTCTAAATTTTTATGACATTAAAATCATATTTATACTTAATTATATATTTTCTTGATATTAAAATATATATATATGACCTGGTGGTTTGAAAGAAAATGACCCCCCAAAGGAATGGCACTGTTAGGAAGTGTGATCTTGCTGGAGGAAGTGTGTCATTGTGGAGGTGGGCTTTGAAGTCTCATAGATGCTCAAGATACCACCCAGCATCTCAGACCACTTGCTGTGGCCTGTATATCATGTAGCCAGCACCATATCTGCCCGTACTCCACCATCCTCCCAGCTACCATGCTCCCTGCCATGATGATAACGGATTAAAGCTCTGAAACGGGAAGCCATCACCTCAGTTAAGTGTTTTCCATTATCAGAGCTGCCATGGTCATGGTGTCTCTTCGCAGCAATAGAAACCCTAAATAAGACACTTGGGGAAGTGAATTCTGTTTTTAAAAGAAAATAAAAATAAGAATAAAAATGTTAGCTACTTTGACTAGACTCGTGGGTTTATTCACAGTTCTGTGCAGTGTTTACCTCATATATTTGGTAGCTTGATGCACAAACACAATAGATCTTTATGGCCTCTTGATGAACTTACTCCATCATTAAGAAGTGATGTTTTGGGGACTGGAGAGATGGCTCAGCAATTAGGAGCACTGGCTGTTCAATTCCCAGCAACCACACAACCATCTGTAATGAGATCTGGTATCCTCTTCGGCATGCATGCAGACAGAACTCTGTATATATAATAAATAAATCTTGAAAAAAAAAAGAAATGGCTTTTTAAATGGAATTGAATGTGCTCAAAGTACATTATATGCATTGTAAAAATATAATAAACCCATTGTTTTGTGTAATTAATATGAACTAATAAAAACAGAAAGATACACATATACACCAAAGAAGCAATTATAGAATCCCATGCCCATTCATTTATCTTCCAAGAAATTTTGGGATACTTTTTCAGGAGATATGAGATTCCACCCCAAGTACTTTAAGATAACCTTTCCAGGAGCCAGGTCGCATATAAGCTGAAGAGGCAGATTAGGCTGAGAAGTGAAGAGCTATGGTACCAGCGTCATCTTACCAGTAGACTGCTCTGCAAGTCCTTTCAGTAGCAATGACTTACTTGGAGTTGCTCCAGACTCCAAACTGATGTCCCAGGTCTTCTGAATACATTCTTTCTTTTTGTTTTGTTTTTTTAAAAAAAAACATATATTTTTTTTAATTTTATGTGTGTGTGAGTGTTTGCCTGCATGTATAGATGTGTCCTGTGTGCATCCTGTGGAAGTCAGAAGAGGTCATGAGATCCCCTGAACTGACATTAAAGATGGTTGTGAGCTGCTTTGTGGGTGCTGAGAACCAAACTCAGGTCCCCTGCAAGATCAACAAAGCTCTTAACCATTGAGACATCTCTCTAGTTCGTCTAGAGAGTTTGTTCGTTTGTTCTTTGTGGTGGCTGTCAGTTGTGTCCTCTGATGATTAGGGCAAGTGATATCACGTGATCTTCCCCCCAAACCATCTCCCTCTTTGCCTCTAAATGAATGTAGTCTTCTTGATCTTTGCTTCTATTCTGAATTCTTTCCACCTTCTTTCTAGAGGGGCATGAGCTACTATTTTAAGTGACATTTGCAAGACATGTTATCCTCTGCATGCCTTCTCTTGACTGTTTCTCTGTAGGTCAAGTGTCTAAAATCATTCTGTCGATCATAGTCTAATGTTAAGCAGACTGGGATATGGAAATAAACGGGACTGTGATTGAGCGATGCTTTGGTAGAATTGGATAGCAATGCTTTAAGAATTAATAACATTCATTTAGGGAAGTTTCCTTTTTAGTCATTTCACCATAATTTATACTCTGCAGTTCAAGTCATGACAATTTACCTAAATTGCCTGTGTGGCAATTGGTACCTGGAAGGAAGCAGGCCTCCCAGTGTCTGCCTTGTAAACGTCTTGTCTGGAGCTCACTTTCAGGCTATCCTTGGATCTCATTAGGAGTATCCTGTCAGGGGAGAGAGGCTGATGAAAACAAGGACCATGGCCAACTGGTTCAGAAGAAAACCAGGATTTAAAAACAAGAATTTATGGGGATGAGAAGACGGCTGAGTGGGAAGAAGTGCTAGGCACACGCACCTGATGACTTGAGTCTCTGGACCCTATCTGAAAGGTCAGATGCAGTGTCATACATCTGTAATCCCAGCATTGCTATGGTGAGATGGGAGGTAGAAACGTTACCAGAAAGCGGCCTATATAGGAGGAGGTGTGGCTGCCAAAACAGCAAAAAGCAGCCCTGCCTCAACAAGTGGGGGCCGGAACTGACTCTAAAGCTGCTCTCCGCCCTCCGCGTGAGTCCTGTGGCGCACAAGTGCCCACACTCATCAACTCACATGCACCCCACAGCCGGAACTGAGTCTAAAGCTGCTCTCCGCCCTCCGTGTGAGTCCTGTGGTGCATGAGTGCCCACACTCATCAACTCACATGCACCCCACAAAAGTTTTGTCATGAGGGTTTATGACAGATGATTCAGAAGGGGAATGTAGTATAAACAGATTATGTAGGCTCAGATCGGCTTCCTGTCCCATGGTCTCTTCAGTGCAAGGCCTGAAGACCTTTGCTGAAATGCCCAGTGTCTTACAGGACACTCAAAGCTATAACAAACCTCACCTCTAGTGCCACAATCAAAATCAGGTTTTGAAATAACTGAGATTGCAAATTGAAAAGCTGAATAATGAAGGCATTGGAAAATGTGGCCTTTGGCACCTACATGTCAAAAGTTCCAGCTCCCAACCTAGACAATTGCACAGTCCAATGGAAAGCTCCCACTGCTGTTCAAATACAAACCAGCATTGTTTCTCTAATGAATTGTATATTGAAAACAGGAGGGGAAGAGTCTCAGCTCCATTCACACTCTATGAAGAAGAGTCCTGTGTAAATCCAAGGCCACCCAGGGGCTGGCAGTGGACAGCAGTGACCAGCAGTGACCAGCCCTCCACAATATCAACATGGCAGGTGGTTTTTCTCCTCCCCTCAGCCTTACCAGCTTCCAAACAATCACTGCCTTAAGAGAGTCCCAGTTGTACCTTGAAGAGCCCTGGTGTCTTGAGCCTCCCTCAGCTCTAATGAGGGAGGAAGCCATTCTGGCTTTGATGTACAGCTGTATGTTTTCTAACGATGGAGGCAAGGGATCAGATCCCATTCAGATTTTGCCTTTTAAGTCTTCATTATTCAGCAGCCCTGTTGAAATTAGCTGTTCATTTCTCCAGGAGCAGCTGCATGCAGGACTGTGGGGTTGGGCTGGCTGTGTTAAAACTGAGTGAGTCTGGAAGGAAGCACTCTTGAATATTTATTTAATTCAATTATCCCTTGGTGGCACACCCCCTCCCTTCTAAGCCACAGCACTGGATTCTGTAAGCACTAGACTTTCCCCATGAAAGCGATCATGAAATCTGACCCGACTTGTAGAACGCAGCTTCAGCTCTAATATGAGACAAATCCTCTCTGTCCCTTCCGCCTGTTTCTCTCACACGCGACATTAATGCCTATTTTGGCCCATCATGTCACAGCTGCAAAGCAGGGCTGTTCCCTCCTGCTCTGTTCTTATGAGCTCTGTGCAGAGGCTGCCAGAAGAGTCATGTTCCTGACTGGCAGGCCCTGGTGGCTGGAACAGCTCTGAAGTAAGTCATTGCAGAGCTGGGCCAAGCGAGGCTTTTCTGGCTGCCCTGGGGAGGTGTCTGGGACTAGATGATGCTTCATCTAAGGGTCAGAGAAAAAAAACCAAAGATGGCCCAGGGACAAGGCATTGATTTAATGTCAGGTTGGAAAATTGGCAGGGCTCAGAGCGGGGACATGTGGGCTCATGTACTACGGTGCCTGTGTGGAAGCCAAATGACAATGTGCAGGCACTGGTTCTCCCCTTTCACCACGTCCGTTATGGGCTGGAATTCAGGCTATCAGGCTTGGCAGCAAGTGCAGAAAGTGCTCTTATCTACCGAACCATCGCACTGGACTTCACCTTAATTGTGAGACAGGGTCTCTCCCTGGACCGGGAGGAGTTCATGACTCGGCTGGCTTGGCTAGCCAGCAAACTCCAGGGATCCTCTTACTGCTATCTCCCCAGCTCTGTGATTACTGGCATGCACCCCCAACCTGGCATTTTATATGGGTGTGGTCCTTGTGTTTGCTCCACAAGCACTTTGCCAACTGAGCCATCTCCATCTTCCCAGCTTGTGCTTTTTTTATTCTTAAATATTGGTCAGTGTAAATAAGCTTTGTTATATGTATTCTTTTTGTGCATTCAGTCTCTGTATTATTTAGTCAATAGTTCCCCCTACCTCTTTCTTTTTATTCCCATGTTTGGTGGCTGCTCATGCAATTTTACCACATTTGTCTTAAGCATAGCTTACTCTACCAAAATATGGAATCCTATTTTGGTGCGTTCATCCTCTCTGGGAGTTATTGTTATTGTTGGTTGCTTTTGCTCTTTTGGGGAGCCCATCACCCAGCTCTGAAAAATATATACATGCAAGCTTATTCTTACTTATAAATGCTTGGCCTTAGCTTGGCTTGTTTCTTGCCAGTTTTTCTTAACTTAAATCATCCCACCTACCTTTTGCCTCTGGGCCTTTTCCTTTTCTTACTTCTGTATATCTTACTTTCACTCTTATTCCATGCCTGGCTGGGTGGTTGGGTGGCTGGCCCCTTGTATCCTCTCCTTGTTCTCTTGTTCCTTTTTTTCCTCCCAGATTTTTCCTTCTATATATTCTCTCTGCCTACCAGCCCCACCTATCCTTTCTTCTACCTGGCTATTGGCCATTCAACTCTTTATTAGACCATCAGGCATTTTAGACAGGCAAAGTAACATAGCTTCACGGAGTTAAACAAATGCAGTATAAAAAAATGCAACACATATTTGCATCATTAAACAAATGTTCCACATCATAAACAAATGTAACACATCTTAAAATAATATTCTACAACAGACTGCCAAGATCTTCTGACCTTGAGATAGAGCAGTGTAGCCTCAACAATAGCCCGGTGAGAATTGGCTCTCCCATTATTATCAGCCATGTTTTCAGCCAGCCTTGGAGCAGCTTCTACACTTCTATTATCTGGTAGGTTTCCTGGACTGGTATTATTGTGACCACTCCATTGTTCTCATTATTAGTAGGCTTCTTTCAATGTTCTAGTGGCTTTTGAATGGTCCTCCATGTGCTTTCTGAATGGCCTCCTGCTTCCCACACCTGCCACTATTTTGTTTATTATATGCTCACTAGGAACTGTTTGAGATAAGCACTGAAGCTGTTGACATACGCAACTGATATTTTATAATGCTCCATTATTGGGAAGAAAGCTTTGTCACTGAGGTTGGCAAGATCATTAAAAACAGCAGTGTCTTCAGTGATATCTAGTGTTTGCATTGAGAAAGATGTTCTTGCCATTTCATTGAGGATTAGGAAAATAGACTGTCATATATACCTTTGAAAAGTAGAGTCTGATTGTGAGCTATTTGGCTTGAAGCATGAGCTCCCTACCTTTAGCCTCTATGTATTTGCTTTTCTTTGTGACTGTTTCCATGTCTGCAATGCTTAGTCTCCTTCCGATGTCTGTGGCTTTTCTAATGATTTTTTTTTAAATTGAAAATTTATATTTCTTCATACAATATATCCTGATTATGGTTTCCTCTTCCCCTCCTCCTCCCAGTTCCTCCCTATCTCCTGTCCCATCTGGATCCACCCCCTTTCTGTCTTTCCTTAGAAAACAAACAGGCATCTAAGAGATAATAATAAAATATGATAAAATGCAATAGTGTAAAAAAACACACAAATTGGAGTAGAACAGAACCATTAAACAGAAGCAAAAGAGCCCAAGAAAAAGCACAAGAAATAGATACAGGTGCAGAGGTACACTTGCTTGTACACTCAGGAATCCCATAAAAACATAAAACTGGAGCCATAATATTTATATAATAAAAAATATAAAAGATACAATTTAAAAAGTAAAGGGAGAAAAAGTCCTGAAATGACATTATGAGGTAAAGAACCTCTAGTGATACCATTGAGTTCGTTTTCTCTTGGCCATCTACTGCTGGCCATGCAGCCCACCCTTCAGAGTAGTTTGTTTCCCCAGCGAGACTCACTTGGTGAAAAGGAAATTTTCATTTGCAAGTGGTTACACCTGAGGCAGCTTCTGGGTTAGGGATGTGGGCATGTGTCCACCTCTTCTTTCAGCTCTAGGATCCCATCTGGTGCAGACTCATGCAGGCCCTGTGCATGCTGCCTCAGTCTCTGTGAATTCATATGTGCATGGATCCTGTTGACTTAGAGAACCTTGTTTCCTTGGTGTCCTCCATTCCCTTTGGTTCTTACATTCTTTCTGTCTCCTTTTCTGTGGGGTTCCCTGAGCCCTGGTCGAGGAGGGATTTGATGGAGACATCACATTTAGGACTGAATGTTCTAGAATCTCCCAGTCTCTGCATGTTGTCTGGCTGTGGGTTTCTGTATTTGTCTAATGATTTTTTATTTTTTAATTATGCGCATGTGGGAGCAGGTAGGGGGTGGGGATGGAGGAATGTTCATGTGAGTACAGGTGTCTTGGAGGCCAGGGGATTGCATCAGAGCCCCAGGAGCTGAAATTGTAGGCATAAAAAAGAAAAGGATGAGTTGCTTAAAACAGATTACTGTCAAATTAGGAGTGAGCAAGAGAAAACTGTATCAGATGATAAAGCAGTGCGATTCAAAAAGTTTCAATTGCTTTATTCAATTGCTTTTCCATTCTCTCCATATCGTTTCTCTCTGTGTGTCTGTCTCTATCTGTCTCTGTGTCTGTCTCTTCTGTGTGTCTGTCTTTCTTGAGACGGTTTCTGGGTTAGGGATGGGGGCATGTGTCCACTTCTTCTTTCAGCTCTAGGATCCCATCTGGTGCAGACTCATGCAGGCCCTGTGCATGCTGCCTCAGTCTCTGTGAGTTCATGTGAGTATGAATCCTGTTGACTTAGAGAACCTTGTTTCCTTGGTGTCCTCTATCCACTCTGGCTCTTACATTCTTTCTCTCTCCTTTTCTGCAGGGTTCCTGAGATCTGTGGGGAGTCTCCCCACCTTTTCCTCTCTCTGTGGGTGGTGATGGTAGGGCATGTGTATGCCATGACATGTGTGTGAATGTCAGAGGGCAAGCGTTGGTGTTAGTTCACAATCACCCACTTTGTTCTTGTTTGAGACAGGGTCTCCATATGCCAAGCTAGCTGGTTCTTGAGCTTTTGGTAATTCTCCCGTCTTCCATTACAACATAAGATGTTGTGATTAAGCTCCTATCCTTGTATTAAGGCTGGGCAAGGCACCCCAGTATGAGGCATAGGTTCCTGAAAGCCAGCCAAAGCCAGGAGTCCCTCAGGTAGACCAAGCTGCACAACTGTCACACATATGCAGAGGGCCCAGGCTGGTCCCATGCAGACTCCTTAGGCATTGGTCCATAGTCCATGAGCTCCCATGAGCAGGCCAGTTGCTTCCCTTGTGATGACCTCGACCCCTCCCTACCTCCATCCCACCCTCGCCATGCTCATACAATTCTTCCTCTCTCTCAATAGGATTCCTCAGTCTCAGCCCAGTGCTTGGCTGTGGATTTCTGCATCTGTTTTCATCAGTTACTGGATGAAGGCTCTCCGATGACAATTGGGGTAGTCACCAATCTGATTACAGGAGATGGCCATTTTAGGCTGCCTATCCACTATTGCTAGGAGTCTTAGCTGGGGTCCTCCTTGTAGATTCGTGGGAGTTTCCCTTGCGTCAGGTTTCTACCTGACTTCTAAATGCAGCACCCCCCACCCCCAATCAAATCATCCCTTTCATTACTCCCCCCTCCCCGCCCCCAGCAAATATAAGGAGAGGAGTTCAGTCCTATCTCAACTTGATATGCCATGCTTTGTTGGCACCCACGGAAAGCCTGCCCCTTTCTGAACAGAGATGGAGGAGGGTTGGTTTGGTAGGGGTCAGAGGGGAGGTGGGGGAAGGGCATGGGAGGGGAGGAGGGGAAGCTGCTGTGGAGATGTAAAATATGTGAAAAAAATTGAATAATAATAAAAAAGAGTGTTGTGATTACAGATGCACACACCACTCTATCAGGCATCTGAGTGGGTTCTGGGGATCTGAACTCATGGCCTCTGGCACATATGACATGTGCTTCTCCCATTGGGCCATCTCCCCAGCCCCTTTATCCACACTCTTGTTCTCTTTTTATAGAAACATAGCATCAATTATGTAGCTGATGAATGTGGGGTGATATTTCAGCAAGAAAAAAAATGAAGAACTCACCAAAAAGGCTTATGCTTAGCAGAAACCCTTGAGACAGCAGTCAAATAAACCAGGAAATAGATACCCACTGTAAGTTTAAGTCAAATTGTTTAAAGCATTTACTATGCTAATAAAGTTTTCATCTCTGAAACTGACAAGCCACTTGCGCTCAGATCGTCAGTATAAGGGTTTTTTAGTGTTCTAAAATGTACTTCTTTGTTTGGTGTGTTTCTTGCATAGAATCTTCATTGCAAAGCTTTCCTTGACTGCTCGCTCCAATGTGTGTTATGAATCCCCTGCTGTTTATCCCTCATGGCAATTCATGACATCATAACTGCTCACTCTATTGTCTGTCTCTTCCAGAAGGCTCTGGTCCAGGGGAGGACAGTGACCCACTTTAAATGCCCCTATTCTTAAGTCGAGAAATCCTGCTTGGTCCCAATGTGAACACACGCATTTATTGATTCAGTGATGAAGGATAGACTTCACTAAATGTGTTGGTGGGAAAGCCACGCTAAAAGACCAGGTGTCTTATTTTACAGGGAAACGAGAGGAAGGCTTTTCTGTCAAGAGCTACAGTCTGTGATTAGCTGAGGAGTCAAGACCTTGGAACCACAGTCCATTTTGATTGACTCAGTCAAGTATTCACTGTGGTAGCACACCTCTGACTACAAGATGGCTGTGTGGGTCTTTCCCACCCTGACGACCTTCCCTCCTTTGTTTATTGGTGTGCTACCTCTGTTTCCATGAGCTAACAGATCCTTATGGAACAGGGCTGGTCCCTCCGCTGGTGGGCTGGAGAAGTCTCAAATAATCAGTCTGTCGGTTTATGCTCCTTTCTTTCCCAACCTCAAATCAACAGATGCTTCCAGTTTGGAAACCTCTGGGAGTTCTTAAGGCCAAGTATCCCATTTCCTTTAATAGACCCAAAGCCCAACTAAGGTAAGCATTAACTCCCCTTTCTGTCTTTTATATTCTTCAAGTCTCTGGTCTTAACGCTTTAATCAAATGCTTTGCCCTCTTCCCTCTGGCATTTGGTTTTGTCTAGCCCACAGAATGCTCCATTTTACATAAGTTTAAAACAGCAGACCACAGGAGGAAGTATTTCATTCAGTAGGAACATAAGAGTCAGAACATTCCAGATCTGAGACCAAAGAGTGTGCTTTAGGAGTCAGTCACAAATAGTAAAAGTATAGTTCAGCAGAATCATAAAT